CGCCCCCTGGTGGGCTGAGCTGGCCACATACACACACACACACACACACACACACACACACACATAAATAAATAAAATTAAAAAAAAATTTCTTATACTCTGCTTCTGTTTGGATTGGATTCATTTCCATTCAATCTCTCTCTCTCTCTCTCTCTCTCCCTCCTTCCCCCCTCATCCACCTCCCCACCATGCTCTCTTCTTCTGTCTTTGCCCCTCTCTCTTTCTGTGTCCCTCTCACATTTCACCACTGGCTATCTATCTGTCCTTATCCTTCTCTACATCTCTGCTTTCTCTAAACTGAGGGTGAAACTAATGACTGCAGGAACTGAACCCCATCCTCCCACCCCACTGTCCCCAACTCTCACTGAAAATGAAGTGTGAGAGTAGGCCATTAGACAAGGTCACTCAAGTCACTGATGAAATTTAAGAGTAAAGACCTGTTGCTGGGGAATTCCTTCTTCCAAAAGAAAAGAAAACTGGAATTTTGGGTTTTCCAAGAATACATCCTGTTAAATTTGATGAAAAGGTGCCTACCTACATAGCAAACTGGAGTGTACTCAAGATATAAACAAACTGTAGCTGATTTATTACAGGAAGCTAAATCTTGGTCAATCTCAGTACTCCAGCTTTGAGCAATCGCAGGTTGCAAACTGACCTGACAAAACCAGATAAGCTGTTAAGACAGCATACTTAATTTACTATGAAGTTCCAGATCTAAAAGTCATCATACTCACAATTGAAGGAAAGATAACTAAAGCAACTCTCTGCTTTGTTTGATTTTATGTGATTCAGATATTAAGCCTATATCTGATCCCAGTCAAACTGGTGAGTTTTGTGAGCATAAGGGACATCAAATTATAACTTCTCTGCAACCAAGTTCTATTATTTCTGATTCTATTTTAGTCAAATAATATATTTGATTTATAGTTTTCTTCCAATCTGAGAACTTTTGAAGTTGAATAAAAATTATTTTTTTGAAGACAGGGTCTCCCTGTGTAGTTTGGGCTACCTCTGAACCCACTTTGTAGCCCAGGCTGGCCTCCAACTCACAGTGATCCTCCTGCCTCAGCCTCTCAAGGGATGGGATTAGAGACATTTGCCAACATTCCTGATGTATGAATATCTTAAAAATGTGCAAGAAGCTTAATTATAAGAAATAGAGATTTAAGAGTTATTTCATTGTTGCATGTACCATGAAATATATTTTTATAGCTGTATAGATGTCTTCATTCTTTATCATTGTGACACGGAGAGAGTTTTTTTTTGGCAGAACCAAGGAATGAACTCAGGCCCTTGCACTTGCCAGGCAGGTGTATACTCTAGTGAGCTATCTCCCTGGCCCCTGGAGAGATTTAAGATAAGTTTCTTCATTCAATTATATTTGCCTACATAACTGGAAGGAAGTAAGGTTAATGTGAAAAGAGGCTGACAGAGACCCAGGTATGGTGGTGCAATCCCAGCACCTGGAGACTGAAGCAGGACTGCCACAGTTTAAAGATCAGCTTGGTTACATAATGAATTCAAGGCTAGTCTGAACCACATAGTGAGACCTTGTCTCAAGAAGCAAAACAAAAACCTGCTGCAGATTCTCAGGATCATTGCCTTAACCACCTTGTGCATATAAATGTATGGGTTTGCCCCTGTCATGTTTCCTAGCTTTTCTCTTTGCCCTCTTTTCATTATTTAGTTCTTAAGTTCTTTCTTTCCTTTGAATTGTGTTATAACTTTCTATTTTTTATTTCTTCTTTTGAGTTCTTAGGCTAGGGAGACTATACAATATTTACACTTGTGAGTCTGGTTTATTTCACTTATGAGTATATCTTCAAGTGGCATCCACTTATACATGAAAACTTTGAGTTTATCATTCTTTATAGCTGAGTAATACTCCATTGTATAAAAATACCACATCTTTTTCATCCATTCCTCAGGTGATGGGCATTTTGGTTGCTTCCAAGATTTGGCTATCAGTGTTTGAACAGGGTATCATGTCTGCATCTTGTATGATGAATAACTACTAAGAAGACAATAGTATGCAATGTATTAATTATTGTAACTGTCCAACTAACCTGTTTTGAAACTGTATTATTGCTATTTGCTTATCAATAAAATTAATAAAAAACAAAACAATGAGAGAGAGAGAGAGAGAGAGAGAGAGAGAGAAAGAGAGAGAGATAGAGAGAGACTTGTTTTCAGCTCTACTGTGCTTTGAATGTTGTTTTATAGCTTAGTGCTGAATTTAAATTTACCTGGAAAGATCTGTATTAGGTAAGGTTGGACACCTGTTGGCTCATATGGTGGTGGCCAATAAATATGAATTGTGTTTCCTCAGTTAAAATAAACAAAGAAACAAAGAAGCAAACAAAATAACAAGCCAGGGTAGGGTCTGTGAACCTGGACAAATGACTGTGTCAAGGCTGTCTGCAGCTCCTCAGTGCTCTAGGGTAAACTCAAGCTCTTCTCCCATCCTTCTAGGCCCTGCCCAGCCGAGCCTCTCACCTGACCCCTTTCCTAAGCTACACACCATAGCCTTTTAGTTTCTTCAGTGCATCATGAGGATTGTGCCTTCAGTCTCCTCACCTTTGCGGTTATCTCTCCCTGGGACGCTCTTCCCAGTGGCCAATCAGTACTCACACATTATACTTCAACCTCACAGCTAGTTCCTTAGGTAAATGTTTTCCATCAACCCACCAATATTAGTCATCATTTTCTATTCTGCTGCCTCCATCCACTTTTAGAGAGCTTGTTATGACAAAGAACAGTAATTACCCCCTGTAAGAATTTACTTTGTCTCAGGCAATCCTGAGTGTAAGGTAAGCATTAATTCATTCAGTGACATCATAATTTTGCCACTGTTTGATGAATGTCCTTTTCTCCTGCCATACTTTACATTTCCTGGGTCAGACGCTCTGAGATTTGCTTAATGCATTAACTTTAGCCTCCAATATAGCAGTGGCTGCAGAGTAAGGTGAATAGATGAGATTTGCTTGCTATTATTGTCATTGGTGTTGATTTTATCAGTACAAGTTTTCAGTAGATGTAGTTTACCACCATCTTAGGGAGAGGATCCATGTACATAATACATCTGGGTTCTTTTTTCATCCACTTTCCTCCCACTCCTGTCCCTCCTCTTCTCCCATTTGTTTTTTAAAAAAAATTTAAAATTTTATTTATTTATTTATGTGTGTGTGTGTGTGTGTGTGTGTGTGGCCAGCTCAGCCCACCAGGGGGCGGGGCTGGCTGGCATGTGGTGCTGGGGGATTGAACGCGGTCCCTGTGCTTTGCTAAGCTTGTTCTCAGTAGGTGCTTTAGACCACTGAGCCATCTCACCAGCCCTCTTCTCCCATTTGTTGTCCTTGCTGATATTATTAATCATATCTCATTTTCATGACCTATAATGATTACATTCATCGCAGTGATTAGGGTTCTGTACATGGCATATTTTTATTCTACTTATTTCCTCCTCCCTTTTGTTCTTGACCTCCTAGATTTCTTCCTGTTTACACAAGACCCATCCCCTTGCTTTCTCTCCATCATTCAATACACTCTTTGTTTGTATTTTGCTTTACTCAAATGAAAGACACAAATTTTTGCTTTCTTTTGTGTTAAAAATGAGTTTGTTCTAATTATGAACATTTTGTCAGTGCTGAGGATTCAATCCAAGGCTTTGTGAATGCTGGGCAAGCATTCTACTCCTATGATACATCACAGTCCTTTTTAATTTTATTTTGAAGCAGGCTTTTGTTTAAGTTGCCCAGGCTGACCTTGGACTTGCAATCCTCCTGCTTCAGCCTCTCGTGTCGCTGAGCTTACAGGTATAAATCACCATTTCTCATGGATTTAGAAATTGTACACTTGCCAGGGATCTCCATCACCGAGATGTGCCTTTAGCAGTCTCTCTGCTCAGATCTGCTCAAGGGTTGCAGTGAAGATGGACTAGGATAGTTGGGTGAAAGCAAGTGGAATATAACTAAAGTGCTCAGGAAATCAGTGCAAGCAATTCTTTATCTCAAGGAGAGACTACAGAATGAAACCTGGTTCAGAGATAGAGGGGTGGGTAGATGCACGAATAATTCAATGAGCCAATATATCAGTGACAACTATCAGCGTCAAAGGATTGGCTTAAGTCAGATAATCCAAATAAATGAATAAAACCATTATCTGAGGTAGGGATAATGGGTCAACTTACCCATGGAGAAGGGAATAAAAGCTGGACTCTTCTTCAGTGCCCCCTTAGCATCCAGAAAGTGATCCGGGTTAAAGGTATCTGGTTTTTCAAAGTGATGTGAATCATGGAGAGCAGTGGATAGAATTGGGTATATTTCTGTGTTCTGAGGAAACATTATAAGTTCAAAAGAGATTGCTATTATCTGGCCTCCAGGACAAAGACACAAATAAATACATAAAACAAATTAAAACAGATACAAGGTTTCCCTGTTGGGGGGAAAAAAA